AGAGATCAAAGGCAAATAATACACCGTAATGAGGGGGTAAATTATTGTAGGTTTTAGAAACGAGAGAATCCTTACCCATAGCATTGTAACCACCGAAAATTTTGGTACCATCACCACTATTGCAAATAAATATATAAATTTAACAAATGAGTTGATAAATAATTAATAAATGAATGAATCAATGAGTGAATTAATATATTAGTAAGATGGAGTAATATAATAATTACCATTTAGTAAATACTGGTTAAACGTTGACAATATTCCATGTAGAAGCATCACTCTAAAATGAGTCTTAATTATATTCTTCACTAATTAATTAAATGTTACCACCACCGTATCTTGCGAGAATCTAGAAATTCTTGATAGCCCAAGATTCATCACCTAATAAATTAATATTAAAATATTATATAAACCATAAACTTAAAAAATTCATTTTACTAGGGTCCTAATCAAGAGTAGTGGTTAGTCTAACATTGAATTACTTTCTGTAGTGATTAAGCTTAACAGTGACTGATTACAATCTATCTAACATTCCTACTTAACCACAAGTACCATTAATTGGTTTGGGAGAGGGTTAATTGTACAAAGCTTATAAACTATAAACTATATTTTATAGGTATCAAATATATTAAAAATTGGAGTTTGATGAATAAATATAGTACCTAACTAGTCATCAACGTATAAATTAAAGACTTCATTATCTAATTTATTCAAAAATGTTGTTAATATTATGTTTAATCGTCATTTGCAATTCTTTATTATTCACAAATATGGTAACTCACTAATAATTAAATACCATAAGACCTCGCTAACTAGCAACCCTCGAATTCAAAAAATGTTCGAGTTATCGGGGTTTTCATTCATTTTTTAATTTGAGAATAAAATTTTTTGCAACAAAAATGAGGAAAATAGTTACTAATGTTTTATAAAATATCTTTAAAGCTTTTAAAGTATGGAAAATTTATTAAAATATATTCTTTTTATGTTGAGAAAAATTAAATAAAACAGCTATTATAATTTTAAACTATGATTTTTAAATCTTAAAATGTGGAAAATAATAATGTCTTCATTAAATTTATAAACTAATCATAATTATTAAGCAAATTTAAAGTTATGTTGAAAATTAAATTTACAGAATATAGATAATATAAAGAATCATTACTTATTTAAAACTTTGTTATAGATTAATTCTATTTTTTACTATTATTGATGAAATAGTAATTATACAAATTTAATTGATTTATAAAAATGAAAATTAGTTATTTTTGTTTGTTTTTACATGCACTGTAATTTTTCAAAAACAGTCCAAAAAAAATTTAAATTTGAAATTTTACTTGAGAAAAAGTTTGATTTGAGAAAAACTATTTGTATGGATATATAAAATTAATAAATTTAAATACTTTT